AGAGAGAGAGAGAGAGAGAGAGAGAGAGAGAGAGAGAGAGAGAGAAGAAGAGAGAGAGAGAGAGAGAGAGAACGAGCGTGAGTGAGAGTGAGAGAGAACGAGCGTGAGTGAGAGTGAGAGTGAGTCGCATGCATCGTAGGTACGTGCCCTAGATCTACGACAGGGAAACAGGTATTCTAATTAAGCAGCGACGCGAAAAAGAAAAGAAAGTGGGCGGTAAAATCAGTGCACATCACTCGCTCACCGATATAACTGTTGACAGTCTGACGGCATCCCCCCCCCTCTCTCTCGCATTACAGACACTGCAGGAGATGGATGAGAAGAGGATCGTCAGCTTCCAGGACTTCATGCGGCGGTCAGTGACCATCGAGAAGAACGTCTTCCCCATCATCGACACGTGTCTCAACGGCATCGTCAAGGCAGCAGACGCCATCGACCCAAAGGAGGTACGTTCTTCGCCTCTCCCTTCTGGTCAGCCTCTCGTATAGAGGTGGGGGGCTAGCGCGCTAGTCACTAGTCCCTAGAAGAGAGTCTCTCCCCCAGAGTCTCTAGGAAATGTAGGAGGGTCTAGTTTAAAGTCTCTAAAGGGTGTAGGATATAGTTTAGATGCTGGCGTAGATTTAGGATCTAGTTCAAAGTCTGGGAGATCTAGATTCTAGTTTACAGTCTCAGAAATGTAGGATCTAGTGTAGTCTCTAGAAGGTGTAGGATATAGATTAGATGTTGGCGCAGATCGAGGATCTAGTTTACAGTCTGGGAGATGTAGGATCTAGTTTACAGTTTGAGAGATCAAGGATCTAGATTAAAGTCTGGGAGATCTAGGATCTAGATTAAAGTCTGGGAGATCTAGGATCTAGATTACAGTATGGTAGATCTAGGATCCAGATTACAGTCTGGGAGATCTAGGATCTAGATTACAGTCTGGGTGATCTAGGATCTAGCTTACAAGCTGGGAGATTTAGAATCTAGATTACAGTCTGGGTGATCTAGAATCTAGTTTATGGTTTCAGATAGGATCTAGTTTACATTCTGGGAGATCTAGGATCTAATGTAGTCTGGGAGATCTAGGGTCTAAACTAGAGTCCCTAGATCTAACACTTCGTCTGGAATGTGAAATTTAGGAACTATTCCAGAGTTTAAGAGGTATAAGATGTAGACTAGTGCCTAGGAGGTGTAGGATCTAGTCTTAAGATCTCCTCACTATGCTCCCATGGGGTGGGAGCTACTCTCACTACTCCACACTATGCACACGCCATGCCACGTCGGTGAGTGAAACAAACCTGCCGAGTTAAGAATCAAAGTTTTACGACAACTATACGAGATTCGTACGAACACTCTTTAGTTGCACTTCTGCTTAATATTTTTACTAAAACGGCAAAAAACAGGTTGGCTCATGAATCGTAAATATTTTACGTATGTCGTAGGTTAACGATAGAATTACAGGGAAGTCGAACTAAAGTGGGTTTTCGAGGGCAGCTCCACATTAGGTTGAAATATCGCATATATATCACATCATATATGTCGCAAAATAAGGTCTGGGTGCAGCTACGCATGTGAAACATATATGAACGTATATAATAAGGCCAATATGATAATAACATGCGAGCAGGCATGAGACACGGGTGAGTGAGGCAATTCCTCAGCAGAATGCGACGACATCGATTGTCAGCGCTTAATCAGAGGTGGCGGTGTATAGGATTAGGGATCACTGGTGGCTGTACGGTTCGCCCGATAGGAGAGATGGCAATTATTCTCGCTGCGGAAAGTTAGTGGCGCCCGCTCGCGCGTCCGAGTCGCTTTCACTATCGGGGAAAAACGCAACTAATCCTTCACGCTGTAAAATTGAGTCCGAATTGCGTGGGTTGGAAGTGCAGGCTTAGTGGGCGCGTGGGTGGAGAGAGCATTGGTTGGGAGTGCGTGGGTTGAGAGTGCAGACTTAGAGAGAGCATGGGTTGGGAAGGTGGGAGCTGAGACTGCGGGGGTTGGGAATGCGTGGGTAGAGAGAGCATGGGTTGGGAATGTGTGGGAAGAGAGAGCATGGGTTGGGAATGTGTGGGTAGAGAGAGCATGGGTTGGGAATGTGTGGGAAGAGAGAGCATGGGTTGGGAATGCGTGGGTAGAGAGAGCATGGGTTGGGAATGCGTGGGTAGAGAGAGCATGGGTTGGGAATGTGTGGGAAGAGAGAGCATGGGTTGGGAATGTGTGGGTAGAGAGAGCATGGGTTGGGAATGCGTGGGTAGAGAGAGCATGGGTTGGGAATGCGTCGGTTTGCAGTGCGTGGCTAGCCAGTGCGTGGGATTGCAGTGCGCGAGTTGAGCTGCTGCTGTAGGTTGTACGAGGCAATGCTGCGTCGTCGACGCTAGACAACAACAAACACGGGAACAGCTTCTCTATCCTCGCGGTGAGGTCAGCAGCAGCCAGCGTCAGGCAGCAGCCTGCACTCACACTGATGAATAATCCACACAGCGTCGCTAGTGCACTTGCTACCCTCTCACCATGCCAGGTGCATAATGCTGTTATTAGCAGAAGGTGCTGATGGAGTATAGCGTGAGGCGCGAAACGGCCGCGTGTTTTGCTGTGAGCCGTGAAAACGTTGTGGTTTTTTTCACTGTCGTTGATTTTTGGCTCTGACGAGGTGCGTGATTACTGGGGTGAGATTCATCAACGTTGCGTAAAGTGTATTGCGTACACAGAGTTTCTACGAAGTACGTACGCAAAGCTCGTAGGTGCGATTCATCAACGCAGCGTAGCACCTGCATACGCAAATGTTGATGAATTCCAGTGTAAATCTACTACGCCATCGTAGCGTCGCCTGGAATTTAACGTTAGCATAAAATACCAATTAGCACAAAAAACCACGATAAGTGTGAAATGGCATTAGCGATAAATTTGCTGAAATTCCTTACGTTCCTTCCTTATTTCGTTTTCTAAAAATACTTGTCAGATTACCTGTCAAATATTAGCATGTATTTTATTGGCGCACACTTTATTGTGTACTTGTGGGATGTTATTGGCTTGTTATTTCCTTAGCAGTGGCTTCCATGGAGTCGTAAATTTGGTTGTTCCTTTTCCTAGCACCCATCTCCCTATCTAGATATACGGCATGTCTGGCAACTATACTTGTAACTTACAGCGCCGTGTCGTAAAACTGTTTTATTTCCCATGCTAAGAAGCCTTTCCCCTTCCGTTTCTCTCTTGCCCTCTATTTTTCTTTCTCTCGCTCTCCCTCCCTCTTCCTCTCTCTCTCATTCGCTATGGCTCACCTGTCTGTAATCTCGCCCGCAGGACGCGAGGCTCATCCTAAACCGCTACAAGTCTGGCTTCTCCCTCCCTCCCTCTCCTCTCTCCAGTCTCACTCCCTTCCCCTCCCCGCCCCTCCCTCCTTCTCTCTCATTCACTGTATCTCACCCGTCCGTGATCTTACCCGCAGGACGCTAGGCTCATCATAGACCGCTACGAGTCTGGCTTCTCTCTCCCTCCCTTCCTCTCTCTCTCTCTCTCTCTCTCTCTCTCTCTCTCTCCCTCGCCCTTCCTTCCCCCTCTCCCTCCCTCCCTCCCTCTCCTCTCCAGTCTCCCTGCCTTCCCCTTCCCTCCCCTCCCTCTCTCTCATTCACTGTATCTCACCCGTCCGTGATCTCACCCGCAGGACGCTAGGCTCGTCATAGACCGCTACGAGTCTGGCTTCTCTCTCCTTCCCTTTCTCTGTCTCTCTCTCTCTCTCTCTCTCTCTCTCTCTCTCTCGGCTTGGCTCACCTATCTGTGATCTCGCGCGCAGGACGCTAGGCTCGTCATAGACCGCTACAAGTCTGGCTTCTCTCTCCATCCCTCACTCCGTCTCTCCTTCCCTCCCTCCCCCTCTCTCCCTCACTCTCCTCTCTCCCTCCCTCTCCTCTCTTCTCTCCCTCTCTTTTCTCCCTCTCTTCTCTCCCCTCTTCTCTCCCCTCTTCTCTCTCCCTCTCTTCTCTCTTCTCTCCCTCCTTTCCTCCCTCCCTCTCCCCCTTCTCTCTATCATTCACTATAGCTAACCCTTCTCTGATCTTGCCCTCAGGATGCCAGGCTCGTCATAGACC